TCCTACTTGAACACACAACTGTAGTTCTTTATAGGTCCTGAACAGATTTCGTTGTATTGGATCATACCGATCTTTACTGCAACGTACTCTTTGTGGGGCTGCACTCGGCAAGTGCTTGGAAACTTCAGTTGTTACTGAATGCTGCAGGCAGGATGTCGACTGGAGTGAGTGGTAGGACCACATAATTTCACTCTTGGCCCATATACACTGCCCCCACAATATGTTTCCAGGCACAATTCAAGGTGCTGGTGTTGATCTTTAAAGCCTTCTATGACTTGGGACCAACATATCTAAAGGACCACCTACTGTCTTACAAATCTACCCAACCACTGCTGTCATCTTTCAAGGCCCTGCTTCAGGTGTCCCCAACTGCTGAGATTGGGCAGGTGACAACCCAGAAAAAGGTCTTGGTTGTGGCACCAAAACTCTGGAACGCTCTCCACATGGAGACTTGTCTGTCCCCGTCTATTGCCATCTTCTACCAGCACGTGAAAACTTTTTTGTTTTGTTCAGCGTTCCTTCAGTGAACCCCCATTCTTGCCCTGTTTTAATTGTTATTTTTATGTTTCGATATGTATATTTCAGCTCTAGTTTTAATTATTTTATGGTTTATCTTTTATTGGTTTTAAAGATACGCTGGCTTTGACGAGGGCAGAAAAGTGGGGTATAAATTTGTGGTCACTATGAGAAAAATTTATTTCCAATTCCAGATATGAAAGTTCAGTTTCTGAATGTAAAACAAACTCATCCATTATTGCCAACCCAAGAGTTGATGTTTCCTTTTCTATTTTGTGCTGTGGAACTTGTTTCTTCTTTCTCCTGTACAACACAGGTGGGTTCCTTTTCCTTGAGATTCACAAAAATCTGGATGGCTATTGTAGGCTACACTTTAGCCCGACATAAAAAGCACAAGTTAAAATTAAGATTTTAAAACTGCTGGTAGGCAAAAAACCTAAAAATAACCTAGTGCCATTGTGAATAAAACCGTCTTCTGTTGCCTCCTAAAGGAGGAAGCCAGGACAGACAGAAGCACCACCCTGGGGAGCTTATTCTATCATTTTGATGCTGCCACTGAAAAGGCCCTCTCTTGTGTATCACCAGATGAACTTTTTTGGTTGATGGGACAGTAAAGAGGGCCTCTTGCAATCTTAAGTTGCCACGCAGGAACATGCAGCTACATATAAGAAACTTTACTCAGAGACAATTTGATATAACCATTCATACCAGTTTGAGTCTCTCTCTCCTATACTTTCTGCACTGATGGAGCTGCATACTAATCTCTGGCAACACCGTTTCACTTCTCTGGGTTAATCAATGTACTATTATATACTGTATCCCCAAACCCAACTTTCCGACCATTTATCTTGTTAAAATCCCTGCAACAAACCTATTCTCACCATATAGCAGATTGGGGTGTGTGTGCAGGCTGAGAGTATGGCTTGCCAAAAACCATTAGTGACTTACAGAGAATATAAGACTTGAATCAGAAACTTTCGGATTCAAAACTTACAGCTAGTATGCTACACGAGCTCGGCATAGACCTAGTCATTTACTGCTACTAGACTAGGGCTTCAGAACCAAAATGCAAGCTAAAAGGGTTTATAAGAGCCAAACACATATTTTTAAAAGCATTTCAAAACAAAATTAAATGTGTATTTTGACAAGCACCGTGTACAAACCCTGGCTAAGCTGTTGGGCTGCCGAGTACAGGGCGCTGTATTAAGTGACTTTCATGCTTCTTCCAGCCTTTGATCCAGAAATATATGGATTCAAATCATACAACTGCAATAGATTCCTTGTGAAGAAAATCTCTTTGCCTCAGCCTCAGTTTCCTGTGTGTAACATGGTAAATACAGGGACATTTTGCAAGATTTTAATGAAGATAAAAACCATTTGATTTGGTATGTGCACGGAACTTCTAATGTCCTGACCCCACTGGTGGACCTCCAGATGGCAATGGTATTTTTGGCCACTGTGTGACACAGAGTGTTGGACTGGATGGGCCTTTGGCCTGATCCAACATTGGCGTCTCTTATGTTCTTAACTGAGCAAAAAGAAAGGGCTCTGGAAAGAGACACAAATCATAAAATTGTCTTAAAGTATCTCACAGCCTTTAAGAACAAGAGAGAGAAAAAGATGTCAATTGAGACAAATCCTATAAAGGAGAGCTGGGCAAAAGAGGAGTTACTATATCTATTTTCAAAAGGGATCTTGGTATCCCTCCGCCCCCATTTAAAGTTGTCAGTATACGAGAATAAGCTCTTTGCCAGACACCAGGCATTCTGTTTGGCAAGCACATGCTCTTTTCCCTTTGTGTCTTATAAATATAATGCATGAGCCAACATAATGGGCCAGTTACCGTAAGTCTGTTTATCAAAAGGTAATGATGTCATGAAGGGCATTTGTGCAGCTTTCCTTACAGAGCATAAGTGCCCTCTTCTGGTGGACAAATGCCTCTGCAGCAGAAGCAATATCAGGGCTTGAATTATGTATGGTCACAGATGGAAAATGGGGGGGGGAGCAGATAGATAAGCACATGGTGGGTCCACAACTAGACTGCACTTTGTGGAATTCTCTGCTTTTCAGATGTGTCTGGCATTATTTCTCCTGCTCAGTGCTCCTTGCTTGTGGCTCACTACAGGGTGGATGCTGTTGGGTGCTTCAGTACAGCTTGTCCTGTCACAAACGAGTCTGGCCTGACAGGGAATTCAATCGATCATGCTAGATTTCAACTCAGTCTCCCCTGTGACTTTCTATCCATGTGCATGCAGTTATGCTGATGAAAAGTCTAGAAAAGTCTAGAAAGAAGTGAGAACAACAGAAACAAGATGGAAGCAGTGGCAGTCCTAGAAATAGCACCACCCCAACAGGTGGTAGCATGCTTACTGGCCAGAACAAGGTAGCTAATTCACAGTTGAATTTTGAGCATGCTTATCTTTCTCTTGACAACTACGTGGTAGAAGAAAGAGGTGCATATTAGCTTCAGAGTCTGTTTTTAAAAACTCCTCATTTCAGCCAGTACCATCCATACAGTGGGATATGAGCAGCACCACTGGAGAGAGGTGGTTCTTTGCCACCGCAAGTCTCTGCCACACTTGTCCCAGCAATAATTAAAGAGTCTCTGTCAGACAGCTAAAGCACATTCAAGCTGAGTAGTTGCAGCTTCAAAAGCCAATGCTGCCAGGAATTCCAGGAATATTTGGCTAGAGATTTAAAGCCAGTCCATAGTAATGCACTGGCCAGGGCCAAAGCTGGGGCATTTGTCCATGGAGAACTCAATGTATGACCTTAGCAAACAAGCAGCATGGCAGCCTGACCATAGCCCAGTTCGAGGGCTTGTGAGCAGGCACTCACCTGGGGGGCCACCACCTGGAAGAGGCCAGTGCAATGAGGGCTGAGGAGAAGGAGGAGGTGGTGCTGCAGCTAGAGGCTGGTTCTGCCCCACCAAACAGCTGGCTGGTGGGAGTGGGAATGCAGCTTCCAGCCCCCGTGGCAGTGGGCAAGTGGTGCACCATTACCTGAGCATAAGTCAGGACGTCAAGACATGGCTAGGATGCAAGGTGTTTCCTTGGGGGTGTGACTACAATGCCGATGGTGGGCTGTGACTGGTTACAAAAAGGCCACATGGGAGGAGCTGGGCTGGGCGCTGGAAAGGGAGCCAGGAATAAAAGGGATGACAGAGAGGGAAGGGACAAGGACAGAAAACAACAGACTAACCAAGGGGGAGAGGAGGAAGAGGATGGAAGGAGGTAGAAAGGGAATGGGATGAGGAAGAAGGCAGCTACCAGGGCGACAAACCTGAGTGGAGAGGGGTTGTTTCAGGGAGGAGAGACACAAAAGAAGCATTCTTAGGCTGAGAGAGCAGCCAACTGGACCCAAGTGCAGTTAACTGCGACTGCTGGGCTCTTCTGAAGCACCTCCTTCTCCCAATAGGTGGAGGAACGCAAGGACAAGCTCTTTGCTTTGGGGAAGAAACAAGTGGGCACCAGGGAACACATCAGTGGGCATCATTGCATCCGTACTGGGACCACCAAAATAGGGGGAAGAGCCATGATGGAGCTTGAAGATGACACTCCTGTCCCCACTTATCCCTCCATTCTGCAGCCTTAAGACTCACCACAAGGGGCACCAGCGTAAAGGTCAAAAAGTTCCTGGTTCAAGTCCTGGCCTGTTTTTAATGGCTTGTTTTTAATATTGTGATGTAGATTTAATTGTAAGCTGTCTCAAGCAAGCCCCTGAAGAGATGGCAGAGAAATATCCTAAATAAGTAAGTCCTGGTTGACTCTGACAGACATGGAGAGGGAAGGTATATACAGTGCACCAATCTGGGAACTATGAAGAACCCCCGTTAACTTGCCTTCTTGGCCAGTGCAAAGAACTGCACTACGTTTATTGCATACTGGAAACATATAAGGTATTGCAGAACATAATATGGAGGCTGTGGGATCTTAGTGCACCCAATACCTTCATACTACATCAGTTCAGCACAGTAACTGCTTCCCGATTTCATTTTTCAAGGAGATTATTAGATTTATGGTGTGAATCCCTTTTGTCATGTGATGATTTGGACAGCAAAGTTCACTGATGGCATAAAAACAAATCACAGCAGTGCACACTTTGGTAATCCCCCCTCCCAGACATTACTGCCATGTAGAAACAGTAGAAGGTGGAAAATGGACTCAGAAATGTTGGGCGGCTCTTTCTGTACGCTGCATGGACCATAGGAGACGAACTGGCAAAGAAGTCCAAGCAGTGCCACAGATTCCTGGGTGCTGCAGCCACCCCTTTTGTCAGAGCCTTATTATGAACCCTGAGCCCTTCTACAAGAGACGCGGGTGATCCCTGCAGAAATTTAGGAGTTCAAGATAGAAGTTCCCCTCAAACAAGCACATTTGGAAGGCAATGGTCATGGAGATATTGGCTATTCCAGGGAATTATCCTGATGAACACAACAGCATGTCTTAAACCGTTGAGAAAGAAAATAAAACTCTTCCACTCACTTGGAAGCATTCACAACAGCATCACTTGCCCATCCTCCTTGCCGGCGAGCAGGTATAGATGGAGGACCCTTAAAGAAGGCAACAAGCAATATGATGAACAGAAAACACACACACACAAATGGCCAATCTAAATTATACAGCTACATATCTCTTGAAAACCAGCACAGATCTAAGATTTCATCTACGCTGATTCTAGATATTAACTGGCAAGAAACTTAAAATACACCTGAGGGCTAAACCAGACTTTATGAGAGACATGGTTGTCACCACTGTGTCTCTTTAATCTCTCTTTGTAGTATTGTAGTTTGATGTCATTATTTTCAGTTTCTCCTCACACCCCAGTTAACCATTGTTGTGAGGTGGGGGACACACAGATGACCACCATGCTGTTGTGTCACACACTGGATACATCAGACATTACAGAAAAGTGATAGAATGACATTGGCTCTGTCTCTTGCATCATCTAGTCTGGCCCCAAGGTTCTCTATAAGGAGAGGGGGAAATCCAGAATAATCCAGAATTATTATCACAAAAGTTCAGCAAATATACATTCACTAACTGCAGTCTTGGCTTTTTCACAAGCAATCCTGGATATTTGGAAAGGGACTAAGATACCAGAACAGAAGGAAGGTAGCGAGACAGAGAAAGTTGGAGAAGTTACAAAAGCCAAGACCTTGACTGTCCATTTAAGAGCTGAAATTGATCCTGAATACAGAATTCAGCATCCTGACAATCTTGAGTCCGCTCCCATTTTTTCGGCTTGTTTCGGCTCCCATGCATCGGGTCGGTCACATGTTTGACTTATCTTTGCGGCAGGGGTGAAGGTGGACCAGATCACTACAGAGGTAGTGCCATGGTTGGACCACCAGGCCCTGAAGGCCCATCTGAAGGTTCCACCCTGACCCTGTTTAGGCAGCGAGCAGATTTATGCTCGCCCGTGGCGCCAAATGGACCCTTTGCGGCTCCAGATTGCCCTGCGGGATCCTAGGCCCCCTGGCGGCTCGTTGGATGAGCTGGTGGAGGACTGGCATGTCCGGCTCTCCTCAGCCATCGACGAGATCGCTCCCAGGCGCCCTCTCCGCACTCGTGCTAGGCAAGCACCTTGGTATACCCAAGAGCTGCGCGAGCTGAAGCGAGAACTGAGAGGGCTAGAGAGACGGTGGTGCCGAGCTCGCGCTGAAGCATCTAGAGCATCTTATAGGACGTTTATGAAAGCCTATGAGATGGCAGTCAAAGCCGCAAAGAGATTTCTATGCGGCCAAGATTGCATTTGCTAGCTCACGCCCGACCCAATTATTTAGTACAATTCGGTCTTTGACAGTTCTGCCACAGGGCAGACAAAACACTAGGGAATTGGATATAGGCTGTGAGGCATTCACGAGCTATTTTGCAGATAAAGTCTCGGTGCTCTGCCGCAATCTCCCCGCCACAATTGAAACAGTGAGCGAACTTGAGGCCCCTTGCACATCTTTGGTGCCGGGTTTAGAGCGTTTTGACCAGCTCAGTCTGGAGGAAGTGGAGAGATTGCTCGTATTGGTGCGTCCAACCACATGCGACCTTGATCCGTGCCCCTCTTGGCTCATTAAAGCAGGCCGCGAGGAGTTTCGAGGTACCCTGCGGGAGATTATCAACATGTCCCTCTCAGAGGGACAGTTCCCTGGGGCACTCAAGGAAGCGATGGTCCGCCCTCTCTTGAAAAAGCCATTTTTAGACCCGACCAAATTGGCTAACTATCGGCCGGTGTCTCCGGCTCACACATTTTTGTCTTAGCTCAGGAAGCAGGGCTCCAGAGCAAACTAATTTATGCAGGAGCCAAATTGCTCACTCACAATTTTAATGCCAGTAGCTCACAAGGTAGAATTTTTGCTCACAAGACTCCACAGCTTAGAGGGAACACTGCCTGTGAGACCGTCTCTCCTCATATGTGCCCCATAGAGCTTTATGCTCAGCAGAGCAACATCTACTGGGAGTCCCCAGCCCAAAAGATATCCACCTGGCCTCGACTACGGCCAGGGCCTTCTCTGCCCTGGCCCCAGCCTGGTGGAACACGCTCCCGATTGAGATCAGGGCCCTGCGGGATTTATTGCAGTTCCACAGGGCCTGTAAAATGAAGCTGTTCCACCAGGCTTTCAGCTAACCAGTGGGCAACCATGCTTTCCAGCCCCTCCTGCCCAAACTGCCCTCATACTTGTTTGATGGCATAGATGGCAATGGTTTCCACCAATAGTAACCAGAGTACTATTATGTTTCTGCCTGCCCTTCAATGCAAGGAGCACAATGGATTATTACTGGCTGTCATCTGTTTTAAAATTGGATTCTAAATCGTTATGGTTTGATGTGGTTTTATTGTTCATATTCCTGTTGTGACCTGCCCTGAGCCCGCTTGGGGGAGAGGGTGTGATAGAAATCAAATAAATAAATAAATATTACACATAACGAGATAGATTGACATGTACACGCAGAAATATCCCAGAAGACAAACTCCTATGTTTTATTTCATTTATTTAAATAATGTATTGTCCATCTTTCTACTCAAAGGACCACCCAATGGATTACCACTGGTGGCATCATATGAACATCAAGACTCAGCCTGCTAAAGATATTGTGGTGAAAAGGGCTGTAATTAGTACCAACGTATGAATGATACTTCTATACTTGCTTGCTTATCCTGAAACTATTACTAAAAAGTAAAAAACCCTCATTTTTGAAGCAAAGACATCCATCTGCCTGTTAACAGGATGGTCTCACTATACTACACCCATCATCTGACTTCTTTCAACTGCTTCAGTGTTCTAGCAATTTCATTACTGACTTTCTCTGTTGGCCTGTCTCTTTCCCCTCATCACTCAGTAATAATTCTGCAGGTTGTCACCCATGGAAGGATACAATACCTCCTCATTTCCTGTAGTTAGCTAGCACAGTGTAGTGGCAAAGAGACTGAGCTGTAAGCCAGAAAGTCCCTGGTTCAAATCTAAGCTGTGCCATGAGCTCACTGGCTGGTTTTAGGTAATCCATTATCCTTCTGCAACAGTCCCCCATTTGAAATATAGGGATTGTAATGGAATTACTATATTGCAGCATTAATAGTCCTTACAACAACTGCCATCAGATTGCATCCACTTTCTTCTCCGGGCAGAATGGCACTCCCTTTGTTGGAGGGTGTGGATTTCTGTCCATTCCTTCAAGAACTGTGGACTCTTCCACTGCTGTTCTTGAGGGTCTTCTGATCACCAGGAACATAATTGGGGTGGGGGGCTCAATGGGCTTCAATTTAACAAAACGGAAAAAGTCCTACTCCACAAGATTTGCTCTGCTTGCAGCATTGTGGATCCAACCCTTGCTTCTCCTCAGAAGGTGCTTTTATCACAAAAGAGGTAGAACAGAAGTGAGTATTGTTCAGTCAGCTGGTATATGCCTAACTGTGTAACACGTTTCCTGAAGTTGGGCCAGGTTTGGACAGGTGAGAACCTGTAATGGGGTCAGTTCCTTCTTTAACTCACAAAAGAAGATTTTAGTAGGTATTCTATCAGATAGTCTTCAGAGTTGTTAATACTGTTACATCTTCTTGCTAAACAGTGTACTGTCCTAGCTAATATACTTCTAAAGCAACTGTTTTGTTCATTCTGTTCTTCAAGCTTAAGGCTGAGCAGTGCTTCTTTCTTTCAAAGCAAATTCCTTTTGGGTTAAGACACATACGTTTTGTGTTTAGGGATTCAAGGGACTGCATGAAGCTCCCTGAAGAAATTGCTTTGGCTTGCTTCACATTTAAAAGGCACTTCATGCTTTGTTAGGCAAACTAGGAACCCACAGAGCCTAGAATAAAAGGGATTACAGAATCCTTGGCCTGTCCATGATTTGCTCCTCTATTTTCAGTACAAGTCTAAACAGAAAGGCTATTTCTGGCAGTGGCAGATTTTTTTTCATAGTAGCCCAGCGTTACCATTGAACCACATAATTCAATTCATGAAGGCAGTTCTCACATGTTTGAGAAGCACCATTTTGGTGACTGTGATTCTGAAAGCCTCCTGAGGTGTTCTGTTAATGATGGCTTTATGAAATCCAGCAGGAAATGTGCTTGCAGATCAGGCCTTAACATAACAACGCTCCACCATTTTAGCCAGTGTCCCAGATATGTCTTGGGTTCCCAGTCTTAATACTCAAGCCTGTCTGCCTATTATTTAATGCCACATGTGGCAAGATAAATTTGGCTGGACACTGAAAGAAATGCCCCTGCAGCTTACCATTTGCTGAGTCTTCCTATATTTGCAAAAGGATACACAACAAGAGGAATGTGACCTTTCTGACTGGTTCAAGGTCTATTTCCTATACTTGTTTCTAACCAGATACCTGGGGGTACTCCCAAGCAGGGATGAAAGGGATGAAATTTTCCCTCATTTGTGTCCAGTAGCTGGTATTCAGAAGCATTTTGCCTTTCTGCATGGAGATTTTAGTAAATTTACAGCTGTTCATAGACTCATTAACCATGAAACTGGCCCATCCTTTTTATAAGGCCTCCTAAATGGCCATCTCCACTCCTTTCCAGGCATTTCATGTTCAGTGAGGGCTCAAAACACAAAACAAAAACAAAACATGACCAACAGTCAAACATGATTCATACCGAGACCAAAAATCCCAACTTCACATATACACCAATGGATGTGAACTGGCTGTGACTCCGCAGGAAACACATTCTGGGGTCATGATCGGTAGCTCAGTCAAAGCATCAATTTAGGTATGCGGCCAAGACAAAAAAGAAAATTCTGTGTTGAGGATTATCAGGAAAGGAAATAAAATGGCTAGAGCCACAATACCCTTATATAAATTTATAGTGCAGCCACACTGGGAATACTATGTGTAATTCTTGTCATCTCAGCTGAAAAAAAGTTCAGAAAAAGGCAACCAAAGTGATTAAGAGGTTGCAGGTTCTTCCCTTTGAAGAAAGGGGAAAGCATTTGTAGCTTTGTAGCTTTAAAAAAACTAAGGGAAAACATGACAGAGTTTCATAAAATTATGCAAGGAGAAGAGGAAGTATATAAATTCTCCCTGTCTCATTATACTAGATGCCAGG